CCCCTCCACCTTCGGGGGGCGGGGGGCGGCCCAGGACTCACTGGTTGCTGAGGTGCTCCGGGCAACAGCTTCGCTGTCTGCAGAATCGAGTACTGGCCGTGGGTGCCGGAGGAGATGGACATGTCTGAAACCGACTTCTTTACCACCAGCCCAGCTGGAAAAAACAACAAGGGCAGAGTCTAAATCTCAGTCAGGGGGGTGGGCTGCCACAGGACGATCTCCCCGTGGGCTTTGGGAAGCCAAGCCAGGTGACATCCAGCAGAGAGGGTTCCGGCCTGCGCTCGCTCTTGGGGTACCCGCAGCAGCCAAGGAGGCAGAAGCCTCGCCAGGCTTCATGCTAAGCGTCTCTTTTGATTCCCTGGGGTAGTTACATAATCTGGTGTCAATTTGAGGATTAAGAGTGTAAGGGTGGAGATTAGTTTATCAATCAGGATTTAGCCAATGAGGTCTTTGTGTGGGCATGGCCTTCTCTGGAGGATTCTGGGAACTCCTGTATTTTCCTCCTTGGAGGTGGAAGACACACTCTCCCTGCTCACTCCCTGGGAGACATCCCTGAGGAAAAGCCACATGGACCTACCCTGATGCAGCCAGACCTTTGGATCCAGTGGTGTTGCAAGCATCTCAGTGCTGGCAGGGGTCTCCACTGGATCCATGAGACCTCCCACCCTGTGATTTTCCTGCATTTGGCGTCATTGCACGTGTTTCATGAGTCTGAAGAGGGCTTTATAGATTGTAGCGGACATATGGACTAATATTGGACTTATGGGCTTGATCTGGACTGGGCTGTTTTCTCAATGTTTAATTGCTCTTGTCTATAAAGCTCTTTCCCATGTACACATGACATGTTTCTGGACTTATTTCTCTAGTCTACCTGGACTCACACATTCCCCAACAGTTTGTGCTGGTCGGTGGACACTAGCTGGGGAGGGGTGGAAATCAGGTTTCACACTCCGGGGTTCCATTTAAATCATGGCCAGGGAATGTCCAGTCCACTGGCTGTGTAAGCCTGAGAAATCATCAACACTCACTAACATCACAGGCTGCACCCAAAAAGGAGGTTCCAGCCATCACATTAGGGGTGAGTTAATTAAATGTGAGACCAGTATGGCCTGCTAATGCTGTTATAAATATCCCAAATGGCCCTTGGCAGAAAAAAGGTTCCCCACCCCTGAGTTAAATAAAAACATTAGTCGATTTTAAAAGTGGTTTGAAACACTATGATTATGAGCACATCCTTTAGATGTTTTCTGGGGAAAACCACAACATCCCCAGGTAGCTGCCAGCAGTGACATCTGATGACACAGAGGACGAAGGGTACGTTAAGGGTAAAAAGACACGATGGCAACAGATGTACAAACGTGCTTGATGAAACTGACATATGGGTTGTTATGAGAGCTCTAAGAGCCCCCAATAAAATGATTAATTAAAATAAAAGAACCCAAAAGAGTAGGGGCAAATTATAAAAAACAAAAATGGCTACTCATTTGGTTAAAAAAAAAGCAAAATGAAACAGGCTCAATAATCTGTATATATATATATATGTGTGTGTGTGTATATAAGTGTGTATATATATGTGTTGTGTGTATATATGTGTGTGTATATATACATATATATATAATGTATGTATATCTCGAAAGGAGTCCTGGTAGTGTGGTGTGTTATGCATTGGGGCTACTGAACACAAGGGTCAGCAGATTGAAACTACCAGCTAATCCTCAGGAGAAAGATGAGGCATTCAACTCCCCTAAAGAATTAGTCTGAGAAACCCACCCAGACAGTTCTACCCTGCCTTACCGGGTCACTAGGACTCGGCCCTAACACAGGACGCTCTTTTTGTTAATAGCTGTTACCTCTAAGTAGTCAACTGAATTGAAAAGTTTTATGCTTCTATTTATATATTTGTGAAATTTCTACAATAACATGAATTTTGTACTCAAAGCAACAAATTGCTTAAAAAGTGTTCCACCTTTCACCTTCCAGACTAAAAAGCAAAACAAAACAAAAAACAAACAAAAACCCCTCCCCAAACCCAAACCTACTACTCTCAGCTCGATTTTGACTCTTAGCAACCTTGTCGGATGGAGTAGAACTGCCCTCTTGGGTTTCCGAGGCTGTAAATCTGCACGGGAGCAGTCACCACCTCTTTCTCCCCCTGAGAAGCCAGTGTCTTCGAACGGCCCCTTTGGGGTTCCAGCCAAGCACCACCAAGGCTCCTAGTGGACCCCTCCTGTCATGCGATCACGCGCTGCTGGGACCTCAATTCTAGAGTGCAGCCTCAGAACGTTTCTAGGTCTGTTTGTCACACTCTGGTGGTTTGGGGGGTGGAAGCGACGCAGAAGCAAAGAGGATGGATTGTGGGGTTAGTAAGGTTAGCTGGCGGCAGGACATGCTTCCTGAGAGGGAGGAGCCCCCCCTCCCCCCTTGCCAGGCCCACGCCTCCATCGGGAAGCTTCTCCGGCCGAAGAGGCGATGGAAGAGCTGCCCGAGCAGCCCAGCGGCGCCCCCTGGCGGGCGCGAGGCAGAAACGCGCCTGTGGGGAGGAGCAAGCGAGGTCGCAGCGAATCAGAAGCGGGTTTCCTCCGGAGGGGGCGGGGCGGGCCTCACTCCCAGCAGGCATCGCGGCGGGCCGAAGGGAGGCGGGGCTTACTTGGCGGGGGCGGTCTCTGAGGTGGCCGAGGCCTACCGGGGACCGACAGAGACCTGTTTGGAGACCGGTGGTGACAGTCCCCCACGGCTTCCAGCTCCTGCTGTAACTCCGCCAGCTCTGCGTCATCTGGAGGACATGCGGGGCAGGGATGAGACCGGGGGACGGCTGGGGGGCAGGGGGGGGACAGTGTCCGCGCAGGGCCATGCGCCCCTTGGGCTGGCTTGGGGTGGGGGTGGGGGGACAGCCTGCGACGCACAGTCGCCAGAGACAGCAGAGAAACGCCTAGAATCCTCCTGGGGAGTTCATTCTAGTTCTTCCCCGAGGCTGAGCGCCGTCCGGAGCCGGGAGCTTCTGCTTTGTGAACCCCAACCCCCGCCGCCACCCAGTGGGTGTGCCGACCGCACCGCGCCCGCAGGCTTGACACAGCTTTGACCGTCAGGAGTGGGCTGCCGGGCCTTTCTTCGGCAGCACCTCCTGGCGGACTCAAGACCGCCAACCATTCATTGGCTTTAGCTTTGGAGCTCGTGACTTTGGCGCTGCCCTGGGATCATGGGACATCTCTCCCCGCGCCCCCCCTCCGGGCAGTTTGAAGCCCAGTCCTGAGTATCTTTGGGGCAAGGGTGAGGGAGATGTGGAGCGCCCGTCTAATGGGGCCTTCCGGTCACTTCAAGGCATGGGGGACACAAGGCTGGGAGGCCTGCCAGGTTGGCTGGGGTCCTAGGGACGCCCAGCTTTATTTGTTTCTTTACTCCCAGCAGCCTTAGCGCTCGCCAGCTCTGCCCTCCAGAGGCGGCCTGGAGACAGCCACCCCAGAGAAAGGCCTCTCTGTCCTTTCAGCCCCTTGAACCCCTAAATGAGAAACACATGGAAGCTGTCTGATGCTCCCTCAGGGCAGGTCCCGAATGGAGCCAGGCCAGCGAACCAGGGGGCTTTAGGAAACATGTTGGGGACCCAACCAACCCCCAAGGAAATGCATGTGTCACTGCTCCTAGGGATGCTGCAGTGTTCAATGGAGCCACTGTGGGTCCCCATGCAGCCAGAGCAGCTTGGGATTTCTGTACCTCCCCCAATAAAACACTCCCAAGGGCCCTGAGCTCTATTCTTAGCCCATCATCTGCAGGGTCCCTGCACCTTCAGGCTTAGACCCTCCAACAGCAGAGGCCTGATGACAGGCAGCCAGGCTGTATGTGAGTCTGAATACGGCCTGTCACCTTTCCAGCCTGGTAACGCCACCAGCACCAAGTCACTTCTGGCTCCTGGTGACTTGGGTGTGTCAGAGTAGGACTTGGCTCCTTTGAATGGCTGTTCTTTGGGAACTAGGTCACCAGGCTATTCTTCCCTGGGTGCTTCCGGTGGGCTCCTCACCATCAACCTTTGGGTTAGCAGCCAACAGCAGGGGTCCTTTGAGCACCCAGGGCTCCCATATAACACCTAAGTTTTAAAACTTACTCAAAGGGGTGACTGGCCTATCTAGGATAGAACTCTTCACCTTTCATTCTGCAAGTCTGAAATGACTTCATGCTGCTCTTGTGGAGTACTGGAGCACACACACTTTGGGATGGGTTACTAACCAACCCAAAGGTTGGCAGTTCAAACCTGGCCAGCAGCTCCACAGAAGAAAGGCCCAGGTGTTCTGCTTCCATAAAGATTAAACGCCAAGAGAGCCCTGTGGAGCAGTTCTAATCTACAACATGGGTGGGCAGGGGTTACCATGAGTTGGAATCATTTTGAAAGCAACGGTTTGGTTTTGTATTTTTAATAGTCTATCGGTAGAATCGCGCCCTCGGGACTCATATTGAAGCCTCTGATAAGAGTAAAAGGTTGTTGGTTTTAAAATCAGAAATGTGAAATCAATCCAGACCTGTGACCCTGAAGCCATGTGGAGACCCAGACTGTTTGGCTCTGGCATTTCGCAGGGAGAGAAGTGAAAACAGGAAACGGAATGACTAGAGCAAGACAGGGTTGTGGCCACTGGTCTCGCTCCATGTCCTGTGTCCACACCGATTGGGGCATGCTCACTTGGTTGAGACTTAGGAGCCGCCTGGTTGTGAAGGAGCGGGAAAACCGCAGGCTGCCTAGAAAAGAGGCGCTGACCTACCTTTGTATGTTGGCTGCTGTGGCTTTTTGGTAAGTGCAGGAAACTTGCTGGGGAGTGCCACTGCTGTAGAGCCGGGGATGTCGGGAAGGTCCTCTCCCAGCAGCTCGCTGTCCGAGACCACCAAGTGGTTGAGCTCATCCACCAAATCGTCCTCGTCGTCGTCTTCCAGGACATCACCTGGGAGCAGGACGAGAGGACAATGAGGACGCAGAGCTTCTCTTTCATCGGTGGGGCTGCCTCAAGGTGCCCCTGTGCTCTGTGAGAACCAGTATAGTGCAGGGCTAAAGGGCAGGAGACCACAGCCAAGCTGACTTTTGAGAGCTAATGTTCCCTCTGACAACTGTAGCATGCCCCACCCTAGCCCTGGATGCAGCTTGTGCCTTGTACAGGGAACATAGTGCTTGTATCCCACGGTCTTTACACCTGTACAGGGCAGGCCTTTAGAAAGGCTGCTGCCAAGAAAAATGTGAAGCAATGCTCAAAACCTTCAAAACAAAAACCAATTGTTTGGATAGAGTCTGGTGGAACTTGTGAAACTCTGGCCCTAAGCTACCCCTCAGCTCTGGAAAGGAACTCACCCCTTCGGCTCAATTTTCAGCCCAACAAAAGACGAGGCTATTATAAGGGGGATAAGAGCACTAGGGAGGTGTAGCCAGTCTGTGGAATAATGAAGCACTTGAAATCAAAAGGGTAGCATTTATCTGAGGACAAAGTTCAGAAGGTAGGAATGGAAACGGAGGCAGGATAGGTGGTAGTACATTGAGAGGATTGAGTGAATGAGATGAGACAAAATGTATGTCAAGTGTTGAATGGAAAACTGATGACTGTAAATCTTCACCAAATAAACAACCAAACAGTTTAAAAAAAGAAAACCCACTGCCCGCTGAGTCGATGCTGACTCATCCAATCTATAGGACAGAGGACGATTGCGCTTTAGGATTCCCAAGGCTGTAAATCTTTTTATTGGGGGTGGTGGTGGCAGAGAGCCTCTTTCTCCCCTGGAGCAGCTGGTGGGTTTGAGCCACCAGCCTTGCAGCAAGTAGCTCAAACGCCTAACCCACAGTGCCAACAGGCCTCTTTTCAGCTTGATAGAAGGGGGTCTTTAAAATCTTTTTAGAATATTTGCTGGCCCCGCTTTACCAGCCCCAGGGAAACATCCTCACCAGGGTACAAACCTTCGGACTCGTAGTCCAGACTCGTGAAGTCAAAGTTCTCCTCCAGCAAGCAGGAATTGGCTGTGGGGGACATGGGGCCCATGCTCTCCCGTTTCCGGATGAGCTCCTCCTGTAAGCCTTTCAACCAGTCCTTGGTCTTGGGTCTGATCTTCACTGCTCTGCCTTTCACCTACAAGGGGAGAGTCGCCATTGCCATCAAGGAATCGAACCAATCCCCCAGCCCATAAAGTATGAACACATGCAGGGAGCCAGACCCAGCCTCCTGCTTTGCCAAGATGGCAGAGTAGGTGGGGGTTCAGGCCCTGTGCAGACCCCCAGCCAGTGCTCATGGTTGGTCTAAATCATAGGTTCTTAAACTTATTTGGGTACTGCCTCCTTTTTGGTACCCCTCCTGCCAATTAAAAACATTTGTATTACGGTCCATAAACCAGGATAAAGTGTAGGTAATCTGCTTTTGCAGCCCACTCCCCAGTGTTGTTCCAGTGTTGTTCCAATGTTCCCTAGTGGGGTGGTATCACCCCCTTTGGCAAACACTGGTCTAACTAAAGATCAAATCGCCATCTCCTGCTCTCCTTTCCTTGTGAATTTGTGTAAAAGCAGACTAGTACAATGGAAACAGCATTAGGAGCTGTGAGCCTGAAGAGGAAGTTCACACTGCCCAGCCTGGAGGTCTGAGAAAGCAGGTCATCTCATGGGATTGGAATTGAAAACCTTGCTGCTTTTCTGACTCTGCATGTATCCAGGGACATCGACAGCCATTTAACCAGAGGGAAGAGTCTCAGCTCCCTCTGCCTGGCATGACTAAATGTAAAAGACACAGGCCCCAGACCAAAGGAGAGGGGGCAGCACAACCACATCAAGACAAGGGAAAATGTAGCACCTGGTGTCTAAGAATGACTGGTGTCCACTTACCAGAAACAAAAGAGAACAGAGGAAACCAAAATCTCAGAGAAGAATCCGGTCTATAGGGCTAAGAGCTTACGTGAATCCTGGCCTCCTTTCTCCAGAGACCAGAAGATCTAGCTGGTACCCCGCTACCACCACTGATTGTTCTGACCCGGACCATGACAAATGGACCCCGATAGAATGGGAGAAAACTCAAATTCTTAAAAAGTCCAGACTTGTGGGACCAGTTGACACTAGAGGACTTCTTGAGACTCACCTGTCACCCAAAGACACTTTTAAAATCTTGAGCCTAAGGTCACGTTTTAACAAATTGACAGATTGACCCATAAATTAGAGGATTACACCTGTAAGTACAGTTGTCTTGAAAAACCATCTACAAGAGACCAATAGGTCAGCAATTAAAGCAGTGGTTCTCAACCTTCCTAATGCCGGGACCCTTTAATACAGTTCCTCATGTTGTGGTGATCCCCCGCCCCCAACCATAAAATTATTTTTGTTGCTACTTCATAAGTAATTTTGCTACTTTTATGAATTGCATGACCCTTGTGAAAGGGTTGTTTGACCTCCCCAAAGGGGTCTTGACCCACAGGTTGAGAACCGCTGCTGTAAAGCAAAGGTGAGAAGATAAAGGGGCACGGAAACGAGAATACTGGAAACAGAACAGCCAGAATGCAATTCGACAGAACACTGACCAAACCCAACCCAACCCACTGCTATCAGGCCCATTCTGACCCATAGCACCCTTTTGGACAGAGTAGAGCTGCCCCAGTGGATTTCCAACACTGTGCATCTTTACAGGGGCAGAAAGCCTCACCTTTCTCCCATGTGGTTAGCAGCCTAACGTGTAATCTACGTGACCGGAGCTCCAGAATGTTGACACAGTATGAAAAATTGAATGTCACTGAGTAATTTCTATAGAAATGTTCCAATGGAATCCTAATTTCCTGTGTACGTTTTCATTGAGAAAGCAGTAAAATAACATCTACGTAATAATACTAAGCAACCTGGTAGCCCCACTCCATGGCTGCCTGGCTTACCCTACCTTCATGCCATCCACATCCAGGACACTGAGAGCCGAGTGACTGTCTGCGAAAGTCACCAGCATCTGCCCTTGGTTGATTCTGGAATAGATAAGACATGCCAAGTCAGCCGGAGGATGTGGGTCCTCATGAGTCCCCCATATTGGCCCCGCCAGCCAGCAGCACATACCTGACGAGAACTATGGTCCCATAGTTCCCCAGGGTCTGCATGAGCTCTGCGCGCAGGTCCTCGGGGAACTCGTTTCTCTCCTCCAACGTTGGCGACTGAAGATTGACCACAACAGTGGCATCCAGGGGTCCCTGGAATGAGGAGACCTCCTGGAACACTCTCTCCCGGGCGTCCACGTCAACCTCTTGTACCTCTACCTCCACAATGGCCAGCACAGGTCTGTGGGACACAGGGGAAACAGAACTCGTGACCCTGTGACAAGATGTTGACAGTCAGAGGACACCCAACCTGCAGCCTCTGATGGGCAAGTGCTGGATACCTAGACTCTGCTGTCACAGTGAACGTGGACCATCCAGGCCTGCTGCCTTGAGTGAGGGCACCCCAGGCTAACTTAGGACCCCCAACATAAGGTGGTGGCCATGATAAGGTCTGGGCTAAAATCTCTATTGAACACGGAGAAGTCACTTCATGGACAATGTGATTTTGCTTGCTTAAAGGTTCTGCTTGCTGCTTAGGAAGCCAGGTCCAAAACAAGTCTCAGAACAGATGTGTAACTCAAGTTAAACTTTAGAATGACACCCGCCTCCACTGTCATTCCTGGACTCTTGTGTGCTGAGGCCAGATGTACCCAATTTAAAGATTACTTCGTAACTTTAAGTTTTTTTAGAAACATGTAATCTCCTACCAATCAGATGTATCCTTCTCCAATTTTGTAACCATTAACTAAATGTCAACTAATTACTGACTTTTACTGAAGGTCCTTGACCTGTCTTACTAAAATCTCTAGACTGTCCCTGGGACTTCTTAGTTTAGAATCCTCTGGACCCTGAGATTCCCAATTTGCAAGTTGCCTTGCCCCTCAATTAAAGCTTTTACTTTGTAATGTCAACCAGACGGCCATTTTTTCTGTACAATAGTTTGCATCTTGAGCTAATCTCGGTATGAACTGAGATTTCCCCCCAAGAATCATCTAGGTGAGGGAGGAAAAAAAGACTGCAGTGCTCTGAAGAGTTAACCAGAGAATCAGAGAACAAGCTCTCATCAGATAATTTTTCTTTCCAATTTTTTGCTGGAAAAATATACATAACAATGCTTGCCAGTTCAATGTTTTCACATGTACAACTTATTGACATCAATTACATCAATCACCGATAATCATTGCCAAATGTTCCATTGCCGTGAAGAGAAATTATCAACTTCATAAGCGGGTTCCTCCCCCTCCTGCTTCCTGCGGTTCCTGGTAACCACTGCTGTACTGGGTCAGCAGAGAGGTTTCCAGTGGTAATCCCAAGACTGCCAAGCACTTGGCGAGACCCCTACTCAGCCAAAGGGCCCAGCATTTCTAAGGATGACTCCGTGATTTATATCCAGGGCTGGAAATCATCTCTTTTATCTAGAAATCTCACAGATAGGACATGACTTAGGGAGATGACGAGAGAGTCAAGATGAAGACTTTTACAGAAGGTCACTTGTTAGAGCTCTGCTGAGCAGAGTAGAGAAAGGAAACACCCTGACTGTGCCATTGCGGGGAGGGAGTCAGGATACACTCAGGTAATGAAAGCCAAAAACCGGACCCACGGACACCGAGTTGATTCCTACTCACAGCAAACCTCTAGGTGAGAATAGAACTGCCCCCTCCCCCAGCGCCCCACCACCTAGGATTTAGGGTGACAACAGTCTAGAAGCATTAGTGGTGATTTTGCACAACTCTGCAAATAGAGTGGAAAAACCACTGAATTGTACCTTGTAAATCAGTGAATTGTATGTGAATTACATCTCAGCAAAGTTAAAAATACACACAAAACCCTAAACTGTAACAACAAAACATTAGAAAAAGCATTCAGCAGTGAATGGGTGAACATTTCTGGATGTAGGTAGTAGAATAAATTAAAAACAAAGACCCTCACTGACTCATAGCAACCCTACAGGGCGGATTCAAACTGCTCCTGTAAGTATCTAAGGCTGGCCATCTTTAGGAGTGCAGAGAGCCTCATCCTTCACCACAGGGCAGCTGGTGGGTTCAGATTGCTGGCCTTGCAGTTAGCAGCCAAACTTGCAATCCACCAGAACTCATATAGTAGCTTCCTCACCCAAGCATCTCAAAACCCACAGCCAGTTCAATAGTCACTCATAGTGACCCGATGGGACACAGCAGAAATGCCCCCATAGGACTGCCAAGGGGGATATTTACAGAGCAGACGGCCCCTCATCCCATGGAACTGCTGGTGGGTCCAAACTATTGAACTTTTGGTTACCAGTCACGTGCTTTAGCCACTGAGCCACCAGAGCTTCTGGAATATGAGGGGGTATCCAAAACAAACTAGATTCCCCCCCCCACAAAGATATGTATTTAAATTTTTTACAAAACAACCTTATCACCTTCAAAGTACTCTCTATTACACTGAATAGCATCTGTCAAATCTGCGATTCTGTTTAGATGACTGACAGTATCTTGTTTTTTCTCTTCACCTCTTCTACTTAGTCAAATTGCTGTTCCGCTGTGCTTTCATGTCCCTCTCCATTTGTGGAAACAAAAAGAAGTCATGTGGAGCGAAGTCAGGAGAGTAAGGTGCATGGGGCAAGGCAGGCATGCTGTTTTTTACCAAAAAAAACCAGGTGCACTAAGATGGCTGCATGAGGAGGTGCAGTGTCGTGGTAGTTGTCTGCCACAAATCAGGCCTTTTTGGTTGAACACTGTTATGCAATCTTTTCAGAACCTCTAAATAGAAAGCTTAATTAACAGTCTGACCTGGTGGAACAAACTCCAAATGCACTATCCCCACCCAACCTCACATTTAAAAAAAACCAAATGAGCATCATCTTGATCTTTGATTTCACTTGGGCTTTCCTGGGGCAAGGTGACAATGGCATCTTCCACTGGCTTGATTGATGTTTGCTTTCAGGGTCCTAAGAATAGCACCATGTCTCATCACCAGGAATGACCTTGGAAGAAAAGCCTGTGTTAATTTGGAGCTGTTCTTTCAAAGCACGGTATGTTTCCACTCAGCTTTCTTTTTCCTGGTCAGTCAGAACTCGAGGTACAAATTTTGCAGCGACCCTTCTCATTCTCGTCTTCTGTTAAAATTCACTGAACCGAGCTCCAAGATAGTCCAGATAACTTCCCCATCTCTTCAATGGTCCATCATTGGTCTTTGAGCACAAGTGCATAAATTTTGTTAACATTTTCATCGGTTCAGGAAGTTGACGGGTGTCCAAAACAAGGTTTGTCATCAATCAACATTTCATCTCTTTTGAAATGAGTAATCCCCTTATACATTGAGTTTTTCCCATAGTGCTGTCCTTATTTTACATCACAACAGTTTCTGTGGCATTTTTCCCAAGCAAGAAACAAAATTTCCTACACTCTGTTTTCTTAAATTGGCCATCACAAAAAATGAGGTTGAACCAAAACTGCTTTTATGAAAAAATTCAGTGTGACCAGAGAACCTTCCCAGGTGATGCCACTGGGTGCATTGATGCAGAGCGAGTTGCTTGATGCTCTCCTAGCAAGGAAAAGGACGTACTAAGAAAGCTCTGCTGGGTGGAGTTTTCTTCCAGTTTTCTTGGGTACCCCCTCGTACTGTATGGAAATTACAAATGAATGAACCACATTGATAATATTGACCCAACTGTGTTTCAAAAATACTGTCATGAAAAGCAAGTTGCACAATGATATCATTGATGACAATTTGAAAAATCCAAAACTAGACATTTTTACCCAAGACGCGGTGAATGATCAGAACAATGGCAAACTGGATCCTGGGGCTGGGGGCGTTTCCAGAGGGTGGCCGTGTCCTAGGTCGTAATAGTCTTGTGCGTGCACTACCCTTTAGGGATTGGTCTGTCAGTGGCCAGTGGGAAGAGGAGCCCCTCCCTTCTTGAGGCCAGCCCACGTACCTGTGATCAGACGCCTGCAACTCTGCCCGGCCGTAGTACAAGAGGACCCCAGGCGACCAGGTGTGTTGGACTCTGGTGCCGACACTGAGATCGTTGTCCAGAAGGTTCAGCTCTCCCGCTGCTCATGGGGGAGAGAGCAAGTCAGAGAGTGAGGCACACACAGATTTGCATCGATGCACAGGCACCTCTGGGGTGCTGCTCCACGGGAGGCCACACGCTTAGGCTGGACGCCAGCCTGGGGGTTGCTTTGGGGACTAAGTAATCATCGCTGCTTGGGGCCCTGGCCTCCATGCAAACCTCAGGGCTGGGACCTGGAACTGCCACGTGTTCTACCTCAGCCCACAGGGAGCACAGACGGCAGCTCTCACCAAGAGCCCCGGGTTACTTAGCACCGTCCGGCTGGCGGCCCCTCAGCCTGGCTGAAGATGCACTTCCTCAACCTGCAGGTGTGACTGGCTTGCTTAGATATGTCCGCAGACACTCTCCAGCCAAGTTCCACTGTTTACGGTCCTGCCAGCGAGTCCGTCCATAGCAACCTAGTCCCCTCCTATGGTTTCCCAGACTGCCAATCTTTGCCCATCTTTCTTCCCCAGAGTGGCTGGTTAAGGGTTTACACTATCCAGGGACTCCTTTTGGTGTCTGGCTCCCATGTAATCTGAAATCTGGGTTTTAAGCAGATAAAGACGTGGGTTTGGTAGGACTAAACCAAAGCAAACCCCAAACTACTGCCACGGAGTTGATTCCAACTCACAGTGACTCTGTACTGGGTTTCTGAGGCACTACGTCTTCACGGGGGCAGCCAGCCTCCTCCATCTCCCGTGGGCCAGCTGGTGGGTCTAAACTGCTCATCTTGCGGTTAGAACCCACCAGGGCTCCATTTGGCAGGACTGGAGCAGACGTGTGGGGTGGGGGAAGGGGCCCGGAAGAAGAGAACTCAGCTGACCAGTACTGTTGTCCTCTTTCTCCACCAAAAAATGGCGGGGGGCGGGGGGCACCCAGGGATGTGGGTGTTGCCATTGGCATGTAACCAGCTGACAAGAGAGACCAAAAGGGGGTGGCCCCAAGGTTCAGGGGTCAGCCTCTGGCATGACGTAGGCCTGCCAGCTTTGGGTTGTCACAAGTGTCCTCTGAACACCCACCCCGCCCCCGCAGTTCTGCCACCTGCCCACCCTGCACCTGTCTTATCAAAGGAGTGCTTCCTCCGCCACCATAGCACCCGGTCTGTCCAGGCTGGCGTCCGGCACTTGTCACTCGTGTCGTACGCAGCTGAGCCGACGTCATACTTGTAGGTGGGGCCAAAGTTAATGGATCCTTCATGAAAGTCTTTAAAAATCTGCATGGAGAGCATGAAGCCTCAGATCAGCTCAGTGCCCCTAGATGCTGGGTGTTCAAAGCAAGCACGCGCGCGCGTGCGCGCACACACACACACACACACGTCTCTTCCAGGATGGTGTGGGATAATGGGTGGAATGTCATGGATTGAACTATGCCCTCCCCACCCTGCCCCATGTACCCTCTTGGCTGGGGCAGGATCCTCAGTAGTATGTCACTGCTCCCCATTGTGTGACCCTGTGCTGTAAATCCCACCTCTCTGATGCGAATGAAGCAAGACCAGCTTGTGAACAACCTTCGATATGCTGATGACACAACCTTACTTGCTGAAGGTGAGGACTGGAAGCACTTGCTGATGAAGATCAAGGATTGCAGCCTTCAGGATGGATTATAGCGCAATGTAAAGAAAATCAAAATCCTCACACCTGGACCAATAGGTCACATCATGATAAATTGAGAAAAGATTCAAGTTGTCAAGGATTTTGTCTTGTGTGGATCCACAATCAGTGATCACGGAAGCAGCAGTCAAGGTCAAAGGAAGCATTGCATTTGGTAAATCTGCTGCACAACACCTTTTTAGAGTGTTGAAAACCAGCGAGGTTACATTGAGGACTGCTTGAACCAAGCCATTTTCAGTTGCCTCATATGCATGCGAAAGTTGGCATTGAATAAGGAACATCGGAGAAGAATTGATGCGTTTGAATGATGGTGCCTGAGAGGAATATTGAAACTACCATGGACGGTCTAAAGAACAAACCAATCTGTCTTGGAAGAAGTGTGGCCAGAATGCTCCTCAGGGACTAGGTTGGTGAGACTTTGTCTCCCATTCTTTGGACATGTTGTCAGAAGAGACCAGTCCCTGGAGAAGGACATCATGCTTGGTCAAGTAGAAGGCCCTCGAGGAGATGGATTGACATCGTGGCTGCAACAATGGGCTTAAACAAGAACGACCGAGGAAGGCGCAGGACTGGGCAGTGTTTCGTTCTGTTGCTCACAGGGCTTCTGAGGATCAGAACTAACTCGATGGTACCTAACAACATTATTTCATACAGGAGCACCTGCTGTGTGTGTGTGTGTGTGTGTGTGTGTGTGTGTGTGTGTATGTGTTTTAGAAGCACAACTGACCTTTCCACTTGACTTCTGAAGCTGTAACTGGTCAAATTCCAGAAGCTTCTCCCAGTCTCGGCGTTTGACGAAATAGAAGACTTCTTCGTAGGTGAGATCAATGCGGTAGTTGAAATCGCCACACCAAAACACGTAGTCGTGAGAAAACACGCTTCTTCCCTGGTGACACAGAAAATCAGAACCAAGGAGGCTCAGTTGCCAAGAGGACGGGAGGGGAGAGGAAAAGCAGGCAGCCGGGCGGAGGACACGCAAAACCACAGTCACCTTAAAGCGGAACTTCCAAGAAAACCCCAAACCCACAGCCAGGAAGTCAATGCTGACTCGTGGTGACCCTGTACAAGCCGGTGGACCTGCCCCTGTGGGCTCCCCAGAGGGCAGCTGTTTGCAGGAGTAGAAAGCCTCATCTCAGGAAACAAACAAAGGTTTTCCTCAAGGGCACTGCTTGTCCCAGGAACCCCGTAAGCCCTCAGGAAGCTGGGTGGAGCTTGTGTTTGAAGTTCCAGTAGCGGTTCATGAAGCCAGCTCCGGTTCTTACCAGGAAAGCCTCGTCTACCCTGGTCGCCACCAGCCTCACACCGGACACCAGAAGTGTGGCCAGGGTAACCACGGAGGCCAGCTTTCGGTTCCATTGCACTTTAACTTCAACTTAAATAGCTCCTTATGGCTAAAAACCCAACCAACCCACTGCCACTGAGTCCATTCTGACTGCAGAGCAGGGTTGGCAAGACTACAGGTGGGTGGGTTTGAACCGCTGCCTTGGCAGTTCACAGCCCATACCGAGCCCACAGGGCCATCAGGGCTTCTTACTTAGGGCTCGTGGCCACACAGGTATGCAGAGCCCTGGACAATTCTGCGATGGCCAACGAGCAACAGGGGCTTATTTTGGATATGTCCCAAGTTGAGATGAGCTGGATGCCCCCCCCCCCTTTATTTCTCCTAACAACGTATGCCAAGAATTTTATCCAGAAACATTTCCACAAAATCACACTGAGCGTACACCAAAACAAAACATGGATAATGGCCAACATAGTCTGAAAAACTGGACATTGAAAAGGTCCCAAATGAGCTATTATTGGTGTCACCTTTTAACCTGAGACATACCAACGGAACCCTTTGTTTGAAGAGGCTCCCAGCACTTAGGAACGGAGGCAGTCGGAGCCCTGAGGAGGCGGAGGCTGGAGGCAGGCCTGTCCTCACAGCAAGAGCCCAAGGAGGGACAGGTGACTGGGAAGCCCGTCTGTGGTCAGGACCTGAAACCAGGCCCGTGCCAGCCCCCCTCCCCCCACCCGGGGGCCGGGGGCCAGGGGCGTCAGCACTGCACAACAAGGGGAACATTAAAATCCTCATTATAAGGAATGCCTGTGGGCTTTAGGGTGAATGGGGCCCCTGGGTGGTGCAGCTGCTAACAGGAAGGATGTGGGTGGGAGTCCGTGCAGAGGTGCCAGAGAGGTCTAGCAATTCCAACCCCCACTGAAAACCCCACGGAGCAAAGGTCTACTGACAGGCCACATGCGGCGCGGGGTCAGAATGAAACGTTGTCAGGGTGAAGAGCCTTTGGTCCACCACTAGAGAGCGGCCTTCAGTGCGTTAGCAGTAAGATCAGGCAGGGCTCAAACTCAAATCTCACTGCCGTGGAGTCAGTGCAGGCTCATAGTGGACCCCCACCCCCGTGGGTGAGTTTCTGAGCCTGTCACTGTTAATGGCAGTAGAAAGCCTCTTTCTCCCGCCGAGCTGGTGGTGGTTTTGAACTGCCAACCAGGTGGATTGCACCCCAAAGTGTAACCATTACCCCGCCGGGGCTGCTTATCCAGGGCTCAGTGGTTAGGGATTCCCTGACGTCTCAACCGGGGTTCTTAGCTGAGCCACCCGGAACAGAAGGCCAACATGACGACTGGAAATGGGGCTTGTACTCCAGGTGGACTTACACGCTCTTGGCCAACCTGGCCAGAGTGGGCCCACATTAGTCCCTTTCCCCCACCCCCGCCCCCAGCACTGAAGTCAGTCGAAAAAAATTTGCAAAATGCACCTGAGAAACCCCAGGGCATAAAAAGAGCTCCCGGAAGCGTACCGAGATAAGAAGGGGCAGAGAGCAGCCCAGGGCCGGACTGGCCCAGCGCATCCTGTCCTCTCTATGGCAGGCCATGGCCACGCCTTCCCCGATGTCTGGCTTCTCCCGGGCAAGGCCGCCCCTGAGGGCCGTGCTCCTAGTGCCCAGTGTACAGGAGCTGTGCCAACCCCACGGAGCGGCCCACAGCCCCACCAGCCTGCTGCTCACCGTGGGGAAGCTCAGCTTCTGGGTGATCTCCCTGTAGTCCTCGTTTCTCTCCTTCACCTGCGACTGCCCGGCCGTCAGGTGGCTGCAGATGAAGCAGAAGCTGGTGCTGTGGAACTGCAGGCGGATGCCCACGGCGCCCTTGTTGCCCGCCTTTCCGCCCATGCCCGTCTTCACCGTGTCGATGGCCACGTCCCTGCAATGGAAGCACGCACTCCGTCGGTTCCTGGGCGGCTACAGGGACACGCGGAAATCCGGTTTTCTGAGAGTGGACTTCTGCCCTGAGACGCTACTGAGTCGCGTTTTGTCGGTGGCCAACACCACAGCACCCACCGCGTCCCCTGTGAGGAGGCCTCTTCCTCTCCCCGGGGACAAGTTCTCTGGTCCAAGCCACTGGGCATCTCCTGGACGGCTCTGTACGCAGAGAGTCCCCAGGGACACTTGCAGCGCGGCTCAGGAGGTGCCGTCGGGTGCTGCTTTGAGTTCCCACGTTGTCCCTAATGCAGCAGAAGCATGTAGGCCTTGTCACCGTCTCCCCCACCCCCAAAGCTTCCCTGCAAAGTACAGGGTGCAGGGGTGCCATCAGATCATCTCCATAGTCTGAGGACGAGGAGTCGGCCACTGTCTGGGCTAGGCATGTGTGTTTCTGACTTCCGATTCCCACAGACTCCTGCTCACATGCAGGCCAACTTCCTGCTGCTGTTGAACACCCACGTGGCGAAACATGCACTTACTCGACACATGCCCGTTCAACACTCTGCGTGTCCTGAGCAAATGCCACCGGCTCCATCCCTCCCAGGTGTCACCAGCCTGCAAGTCTCTCTGCCATTTCAGGGGTAGCTACGTCTACTCTCTCCAACCCTTATCCGTCTCCACTGAGCTTGAGAGTCATCGGCCACCTGATCCGACAGGTGGCTCTTCAGAGAGTTGCGTCTTCTTCTAGGTCGTCCCTGGGTAGTCCTCGCGTCCCTCCTTCCCTTGTTCTGTTTGTAAGTGACCTCACGGGGGTAGTTTTGGTTTGAGGTTTAAAGATGACTTCCTAGTTCTTCCGGCCCCGGGGGAATCCAGTAAGCCCACAGGAGTTTGAGGTTCTGTGTCACATAACACAACAACTTCTCATCTACACACGCATGGGCTCCGACGGTCATGAAAGTCCAAAAGAAAAGGAGGAGCTGATCCAAGGGCTCGAGTAGAAAGAAAATGATGATGGCGACATAGGTACCAACGTGCTTGACACAGTGGATGGCTGGATTGTGATCAGAGTTGTGCGAGCCCCCAATAAAATGATTTTAAAAAGAAAAAGTTCAAAAGACTGCAAACCGGAAAGTTTTCTGGAAGAGCCACGTAAGACGATCAAGAAGCCAAGGCAAAGTCTCGAGCCAGACCAAGGCAGGGCACACTTGTCGCCTTCCAGTAACTAGAGGTGCTCCAGCAGGTGCCCTACTCGGTTTAGGAGGGAAAGGCCAGCTCATGCCCAGCACCAGCCGCTAGGGTTCGTCATGAGCTGCTGTCAAGTTGCCTCTGACTCCTGGGGACCCCCCACGGGCACCAGAATGAAACACTGCCCCGTCCTCTCCCACCTCCCTGCTTGTCGTGTGCTCGTGCTCATTGTGGGTCACAGCCCGGCATGCGGAGGGGGGGGGGGGCGTTCATCTTCCCGCTCGAGATCAGACTGCGCACCGTTGTGATTCTTGGGCTACTTGCCAGAAGGAGACACCGGCGTCTGGAAGCTCTGCTGAAACCTGGCCACCATGGGTGTCCCTGCTGGTCTGTGAAATACTGGTGGCCAAGCTTCTAAGCATCCTAGGGACGTGCACACACAACACCCAGAAGGGTGAATGGAAGGTGGGTGGTGGAACAGTTAGTAAGTTGGGGGGTGGGGGGGGACATCTGAATGCTATGCTGAGACCAGCAATTGGAGGCTGTCAGAAAGTTGAGTGAAAAGGTAAGTTTCTACACATGTGCGCGCGCACACACACACACACACACACACACACACACACACACGAACCTAAACACACACAAATCCCTGCCCTCCTGACAGGAGACACTGGCCCAAGGCCTCCTTTCTGCAGGGCTGGGGTTCTATCCACAGAGCCTTCTTACAGTTCTTTTTACATGTGAACAAAAGAGCAGGCATTTCCTGCTGAGTTATACAACATGGGAGAGGGGTGGGGAGTAGGTGGGGGTGGGGAGGGGTGCAGAACGTTTCCTGTCTGTGACTATTCAACAAGGGGCTCCCTTCCTTGTGCCAAACTGAGGCTGGGGGGAGACACGCTTTCTGGAAGAGCCAAGCCCTTGGACTTGGACGTTTTATGGGGGCGACTCTTTTGTTGCGAGACAGAGTTCTACACCACCTCATTTTCACGGGCCCCTTGACTACCTTTCGCTAGAGTGAGGGCCGATCCTGACCCTGCCGCAGGGGAGCACCGCGCCGGCCCTCGCTGCCTGCGGGACGACGTTCTTACCTGATGAAGGGCACGTGGTAGGGGCGCACGAAGATGTACAGGCAGACGCCCACCAGCTGTGCCGACGTCAGGAGGATGTACCTGTGCGACCGCGAGATGGCCTTCTGCAGCTGCTCCCCCCACATCTTCCTGTTAGTGGTGCTGGCAGGGGAGAGCAGAGGGCACCGGGGACAGGCAGGTGGGCCACACCACCCACAATGTCTCCTACCCTACTCATCCTGCCTGGTCTTGCCAGGGGCTCTTGGGACCTCCCGGGCAGCATGCTACTGGACGTCCCCCCACCCCCTACCCCTGGAGCCCAGCTCAGGCCCTTGCTCCCAGGAGCTCGGCTGAAGTAGCCTTCTTGGTTTGTTCAGGAAGCTCTTAAGAATAATGCTGAAATTTGAGGGGAAACAGGGGTGCGGGAAGTGTTCACGGAGCAACCAAAAGGCACATGATGCCGTTAACAAATGAGCGAGAACTTGAAATGTCATTTCTGCAGAGAAGATAGAGGAGTGGCCCAGAGCGAATGCAAAGATGCCTGACTCTTTAGTCCTCGATGGGGCTGCTGTGTGCTACTGGGAGATGCCTATTCACGCCCACCGGGTGGTGGCTGTCTACAACCGCCATCACCACACCAGTGTTGGAGAGTTAGCCACACCATCGCCACAGGCCCGGCATCCCCGTCCCGGGAATGGAACTCAAGAGAGTGAAATGTACGGGCGCTCCAACAGGAACTTGTGACCCCAACATTCGTAGCAGGACTCTTCGCTGCTGCCCGAAGGTGGGAGCAACCCAAGTGCCCGTCAACAGAAGAGGGGAAAACAGAACGGCACATCCCTGAACAGTGGATCCGATTCAGCCAACAAAGGACATGGAACCCGGTACCCACCAAGAGATGGGTGAGCTCTACAAGCATGATGCCGGGTGAAACCAGTCGGCCTCAGCATCGAGGATCACACGGGATTCCTCTGACAGAGAATCACGTAAAATACGGAGACCGGGCAAGCCCAGAGAGCCAGAAGTAGATTGGAGACCGGGCAAGCCCAGAGAGCCAGAAGTAAATTGGAGACCGGGCAAGCCCAGAGAGCCAGAAGTAGATTGGTGGTTCCCAGGGGCTTGGGGAAAGGGAATGGGGTCCTTGTTTAGGGGGCACTGAGTTTCTGTTTGGGGCGCTGAAAGGCTTTGGAGACAAATAGTATGGGGTTGGTTGCATCGTACAGCGAGTGTCCTCAATACACATTTGGTCAGAACAACAACATATTCGTCCACAATTCAAAAGATAGCCAGGCTGATCCTGTGGTCAATAGCAATCTCCTGGCTTTGATTCTTTCCCCGACGGGGTGCTGAGAACAAAGGCCTCCCTCCCTGTGCTCAACAGTTCTCCCACTGTAAGCCTAGGAACAAGACCGCCCGGCCCACCCTCCATGAGCACACACACACCGGCCCCACCTGCCAGGCACGGAAATCCAGCCCAGTACAGCGTTAGTCACCCCAATACCAGGCCAGAGGCCAAGGCTACAACCACGCTGGGTCTTCCTTCTCTTCCCCTACTAAGGGGCTAAGAAGAGGGGCAGAGCATATTAGTAAGAATGGGGAAGAGTTATGACGTTTACATGAATTATCCCTAAGGGGACGGACAGGCCTTGGCCATTTGGAGGCTGACAATCCACGGTCTAACTACGTTGGGAATGACAAGTTGAAGGCGAATGGTGCCAGGTTCATCATCAAAAAGAACATTTCAAGGTCTCTCCTGAAGGTCCGTGTCTGTCCGTGATGGGACAATGTGCACACCTGCAAGAAGATGTCTGCCCCATTACCACCACAGTCAAAGATGGAATCACCAACGCCTTCAGACCGAAATCGCGCACACATGCACTCAAGATGCTTGGGTAAGGACTGCGGATGGAGTGCAAACAGCCAGAAACAAAGAAGGATTTGGAAAAGACGGCCTTGCTGATAAAAACGACACTAGAGGTCACAGGCTAGAATATTTGCAAAACCAATATGACTTCCTCACTGCAGATACCCCTTTCCAACAACCCAGTGGAGCCACAGGTGAAGCTCACCAAAGGGAACGCACAGCAGTCAGATCGATTCCACCTGTCGAAAGAGACAAAGGAGAAGGTGAACATCGTGAGCCCCACAAGGCCAGTGGCCGATGGGACAGAATACTAGCTGCTCACGTGCAAGCTCAGGCCGAAGCTGAAGAAATTAGAAACAATTCCACGAGCGCCAAAATGCAACCTTGAACCTACCCCACCTGGACGTCGAGAACACCTCAATAACAGACTTAACCCCGGAACCTCCAGGAGCCAGAGGAGCTGCGGAAGGACATCCAGAACGTCGTCCATGCAGAAAGCAAAGGATCATTCGGAAGGCGGGGAAGCAGAAGAGACTCCGAAACTTGCTCTTGAACGCAGAGGGAGCTCAGATCAGTCAGAGTTGACAGAGCCAACAAGCTGAACAGGCGCTTTCGAGGGCAGCTTGGGAAGACGCAGTGACGTACTGCGGTGACGTGTGCAAAGGCTCGGGTGAGAGACCCAGGGGAAAAGCATGCTCAGCAGGTTGCAAGTTGCATCACTGAAGAGCAGACGGCAGCCTGGAGGGAGCCAGGGACCCTAGGCAGGATCCTGAAGGGCGCAGGAAGCACCACGGGAGAAGCAGGAGCACAGTCACTGGGCCCAAACAGGACTGACTGATGGCAGCACCCGCGATGCACAGGGACGGTTCTGCAGGGAGAAGGCCAGGCGACAGTGAAGGCACTCGCAAGACCGAAGCTCCAGGAATTGACGGCACACCAGCTGAGCTCTTTCCACAGGCAGACGCAGCCATCGAAGGGCTGGGTCACACGGTGTTGATGGCAAGAGATTCGTGTACCGACAGGCAGAAATCCCTATCCAGGCCCACTCTCGAGAAAGATGACCTAGCAGAGTGTGGACATGATGGGATCGTGTCCGTAATGCCCCACACGAGTACATTTCTTCTGAAGACCATTCAAAAACGACCATAGCACACGATGACAGGCATCGGCCGGGAATGTAGGCCGGGTTCAGAAGAGGACACGGAAACGGGCACTACATTACTAATGCCAGGTGGATCTTGGCTATACGCAATGGACAGCAGAAGGATGTCCACCTGTGTTTCATGATCAAGGGAGAAAAGATTCCATCAGCCAAAGAGTTCATTTTCCTGGGGTACACAATCAACACTCACAGGAACAGGAGTCAAGAAATAAAATGGGGGGGGGCGCGGAAAGAGGAGCTGATACCAAGGGCTCAAATAGAAAGTACATGTTTGGAAAATAATGATGGCAACATATGTACAAATACGCTCGATACAATTGATGGGTGGATTGTTACAAGAGCTGTGAGAGCCCCCAATAAAATGACCTTTTAATTTCTTAGAAAAGAAAAACAAAATGACATGTTGCACTGAGCCAATCTATTGCAAAAAGACTTTCGAAAGTAGGATAGAGGAGGCATGGTCACCGTGAGGCCTCAGGTGTGCCTGACTCAAGCCACGGTGCTTTGGATTGCTCCGTATGGACTGAAGCTGGGTAGCGCGGAAGGAAGGCTACCGGAGAAGAGATGGCTTGGAGACTGAGCCTCCGTGGGTTGCCAGAAGGACAAACACACCCGTCTCGGAAGAAGTGACAACCAAGAATGCGCTTGAGAAGCGAGAATGGCGAGACTTCGTCTCACACACTTTGGACGCGTTGTCAGGAAGGACTGGGTGCCTGGTGGTGAAAAGAGGAAGTCCTCGAGCAGATGGACCGACAGGGGCTATGACAGGGCACTCGAGCCCAGCCGCCACGGCGAGGTGCCGCAGGGCCAGACGGTGTCCCCCTCGTCGCCATGAGAGGGCACCTGACAACAGGAGAAATCTGGTCGGTGTCCTTGGTTCCCGAGGGATGGCTCCGACTGCTGGGAGCTTCTGGATCATTGCGGGGCCCTTGTCTCTACAGACCACCTCGCCCATACGGTGGGAGCACATGCTAATGACGGGGTGCAGATGGGACTGGCTGGGGCAGAGTGCAATGAGGCTCAGCAGTGGGCAGGGCCGGGGCGGGGCGGGGCGGGGGGCGGCGGGGGGCCTCTGCTGCCGCAGGGAAGCCTCAGGGTCCTGCTCTGGCCACGCCCTGCTGAGGACCACCTGCAGCACCTCTCACCGGCCACCTACCTGGCATTGACGATGTTCCCCGCGCTCAGCTCCACCATCTCCTCAAAGCCCACGGCAAAGATGTCGGCTGGGCTGCCGTCATCTGGGGAACAGGCGGGAGAGAGAATCAGGATGGCCCGGCCTGGGTCACCCGCTTCCCAGGGAGCCCCTGCTCCCAGCGCCTCTGGGCAGCCACACTGGCCCCTGCGGCCTCTCTGAACCTGTGTCTCTGCCGGAAGCGTCTGTAACCACCGCTCAGGGTCACTCGGAAGTCCACATGAGGTCACAGGCCAGGTGTGAAGCCCTGGTCCCTGCCGGGCCCACCTGCTGTGTCCAGCTGGAAAGGACTCAATCACGGTGGCTTTGGTGGTTGGGCTAGACCAGTGGGTGCTTCTGAAGGACTGAGATGACCACACGAGGGGACACAGCCTGTCCTGGGGCCGCCATGCTGACTGTCAGAGCACAGAAAAGGCAGCCCGACCCACCAGAGACAGGGCTGGCATGAGAGCTGCCCCCAAGCGATGTCTGCTTCAAGGACGCTCAGAGAGCCCCGCGGGTCTCCATCCTCTTGCCTGTTCCCTTCGCCAGCACCCTCCTGCACTCGTCGCTCTCCGAGGCTCGGCCACCCCGACGGCCATGACGTGAGCCACCACCCACTGCACCCACACGCCCATCCCTGAAGAGGGCCACTTCCTCGTCTGTCAAGCCAAGAGGTCCACTCTGAATTTCAAGCTTTGCCAGACCCAAGCTTTCATTTGTATAGAAAAACACTGTGTGTACAAAGGAAACAAACACCGCTCCTGTCTGATCCGCACGTCTTCTTTGCCCTCCACCCAAGATTCCCTACAGGTTCACCCCCGCCCCCAGCTGCCGCCAGTCACCCCACAATCCCGAAGACAAACAAGGAGGCTTCACACTTAGCATCTGTGGGGCTGAGTGGTCTCTGGACACACCACACCCAACTGCCAGCACGGCCCATTCACCGAGGCACCCCCTAACTTTGAGCTGTGGACTGGGGTCCCCTCCCCACATCATTCAGCCATGGGCGATCCAAGAATCCAGGCATCAGTGCTGGCTGACAAAATCACAGCCCTCTGCGCTGAGTTCGAGGCCACTAAATATTACACCGCCTCAGAGGGACTCAGAGGGGAGGTGGCCAATGGGGAACCACGTTATTCTTAGTAGGTACACAAACCCTTTGAGAAAATGCAGGAGGACAAGACATTCTTGGCCAAGCCAGTCATGTAAAACATGCTTGGCCCCAGACAAGCTCCTGACCGTAACAAAACGCTGGGGCCACATCTTGTTTTGACCAATGGGTTCGAGTTCTCAACCCCTCAGACAGCAGAGTCTCGACGGGCGGAGAGAGGGGCACAGCTCTGGGGCTCTCCCAGATACTCTGAAAGGAGAATGCGTGCCTGAGTCTGAAAAAGCTGCACGCTCTGCAGATTCCACCCCAGTGACATTCTGGACAAGGTGAACTAGAGCGAGAGCAAGGTCCGTGGGTGCCAGGGGGCAGGGGAGGGTGTGCAGGTGACGCACAGGGCACTTTCAGGGCAGGGCAGTGGAACTCTTCTGTACATCACGGTCAAGGTGGGCACAGGGCATTATACACACCCGGGGCCTTTCCTAAAGTCTGTAGAAGCCCCTCATGCATCAAAACCCACAGGGCTGTGGTGATGATGACACGGCTCTTCTTGATGTGGCTCAACTACTGAATTCTACGACAGGAGCCTTATATGCCAATAAAACTCTAAAGGATATTAAAAAACAAACCCCCAAACCTTTGGACCTGTACACAACAGAGAAAAACCTAAACCCACTGCTGTCCAGTCAATTCTGACTCCTATCGTCCCCCCGGGAATGGCTGGTGGGTTCGAACCGCTGGCCTTCTGGTTAGGAGGCAAGTGTCTAATCCCTGCGGCACCAGGACTCCTTATAACACCAAGAATGATTCCTCATGTAAACGCTGGGCTTTGATCAGTAGGAGTGCATCACTCTCGTCCATCCATTGTCACAGACGGGCCGCAGGATGACGAGAGGTTCATGATAACTGGGTTGACAAACGCTGTATGCACGGGTCAGGGCATGGGGATCCTGTCTTTTCTGTACACATGAAACTTCCCTAAAAGATGTTAAGTCTACGGATTTGAAGAGAGCATGAGCAAGCGAGAGGGAGAGAGAGCGAGCGGCCAGTAGTTAGTTTGTTAGGCACTGCTGCTCGGGACCACTGAAAAGGGGGAAAACAAATGGAAAACAAGAGCTCAGTCTTGAATTCCCCGTGGCAGGAGCTCTTAGCCAGGTCCCCCCGCCCCCCAGGGGTCAGTGGAGTTTATTATGTGGTTCTTTCTGAGGGAACCGCCCTCACCCTGAGACCCGGCTGCTCCGGACAGCTGGGGTGAGTCCAGCAGCCAGTCGGTGAGCTCCGCGGTCCCGAGGAGGTTGCTCCTGAACTGTTTGCCTCCATTGACGTTCCAGGTCCCCATGGCGATACGGATCCGCTTGAAATTTGTGAACTCCGACTGCCGCTCCCACATGGCTTTCAGGATCCTGGGGGTCACTGTGGGGGAGGAAATCAAAGGCACATGCATCTGCTCGTGTGGACTAAAAGATGAGCCTGATGAAGACAAAGGATGGGAACCTAACCCAAATTTTGGAGCCAAGGCATGGACCCTTGTTGTTGACACACACTGGGCTGTCTCATCAGGGTCTGTCTTTGCTCCTCTGTGGTAGTGACACAGTCTGGTGTCAGTTTGAGCAGATGAAGAGTGAAGGGGTGGAGTTTAGCCTGTCAATCAGGTGGCAGCTTGATGACCTCATTTGGAGGTGCTAAGGAGATAAATAGCTCACTGGAGGTGGGACACACGCTCACTCCCTGGGAGACATTGCAGCTGATAAGGCACATGGAGCTACGCTAGTGCTCTGAGCTGGAGGAGCCACGTGGAGACCCCTGCCAATGTCGAGATGCTCACAACGCCACTGGATCCACAAGACTTCCCACCCACTGGCCTGTGATCTTCCTGCATTCGGCGTCATTGCATGTGTTTCGTGAGTCAGAAGAGGGCTTTATAGATTGGTATCAGATATATGGGCTAATACGGGCCTTATAGACTTGATCTGAACTGGGCTGGGGTGTTATCTCAATGTTCAATTGCTCTTGTCTATAAACCTCTTTCTTATGCACATGAGTCTCCCTGGATTTGTTTCTCTGGTCTACCGGACTGCCACATCATTCTAGTCTATGCTTGTTGTTATTGTTGAGAACATACATCGACATCTACACAGATGACCCAGGGCAACGGGTACCTTCCATGATGCCCTTTTCTGAGTTGTCTCCTCCATTCACCTAAACTCGCTGCCCCCTAAACTCTCTACCGGATCTTCTGAGTGGTGTTGCCGCTTTGAGACTGTAGTTAGATCTTAAAAGAGCACAGTCATCTGAGCAGACATTTTCCACTCATCAAGCTAAACTACTGGTCAATTTAAAAGACTTTAGGAGATATGTTTGGTTAAGGCGTAAAGATTATCTCATGGCATTAGCTTCAGGGGCTGATGCAGCCTCCGTGGCCCCAGAAAGGCTGGAGGGCAGGAGAATCTGAAATTGTGTTCTGCCTTATCTCCCCCTGCGATCAGGATTTTTTGTATGGAATCTTTGATCAGCCTGCTCAGTAACAGTGACCGGGCCCCCTTCTGTCTTTCTAGTTTCCTGGCAAAGGAGACGGCTGTTCCTGGAGACGGTTAGTCACACATTTCATTCTCCTCTCCGATTCCTGATTCTCCACGGGAACAGGGACCGAGTCCTAAGCCTTGGGTGGCTGCTGGCAAGCTTTGGAGACCCCAGGCATGATGCAGGAGCCAGGAGGTAGAACAAGAAGCGCTAGCCGAGAGTCAGTCGTGAGCTGGGATGTCCTTGAAACTCCAAGCCAAGGGACCAAATCCCCGAGGTGTTGCTTGGTATTTATTTAGGCAGCTACTTATGTGTATAAGCACATGTGCTGAAAACATCTCATCATCCAAAACACTCATCTTCAAATTTCCTGCCTTCCATTCGGCAAGGCTGACGTGCTTTCTTGGCCTTTTCCTTGCCCGGACTCCAGATGCGTAGTCTTAAAAAACCACCCCGCTGAACTAGGCCTCTGACAACCCAAAATCTATTCCGTTTTCTAAACGAATGACCTGACCCTATCCTACATCTCACCGGGGACTGTGTGCCGCCCTGTCTCCCTTACGCTACAGACAAGGGACAGTGTGGGAGGAGCCCTGGTGACATAGTGGTTAAGCCCTCGGCCAGGATGTCCCACAAAACCGTGGTCCTGCGCCTCTAAGGCAAATAACCACATCATCCTGTGAAGTGTTGGTGTGCTCACAAGCCGCTCCAGCAGCTGCTCTTTTAACTTTTTTGGGGGGTGGGGGGCGTCGTTATTGTAAATGTTATCCATCGCACAACCCACAGAGTTCAAGCCCACCTGCCCTTTCAGCAATCTGCTCCTGTAAAGGTTTACACCCTTAGGAATGCTGTGGGGGGAATTCTGCTCCCGCCATGGCATTACTGTCAGGCAGAAACAGCTAGGTGGCCATGGGCATGGGTGATGATGCTCAGAGCTTCTTTCAAGTGGAAAGCCAAATAGAACCTTGATGGTTAGATGCCGGGAGCCCTGGTGGGGTAGCAGTTCCGAGTTGGGCTGTGATCCACCAGGTGAGTGGGTTTGAAACCAACCAGCTGCTCCCATGGGAGCAAGATGAGGCTTTCTGTTCTAAATAGTCACAGTCTCAGAAACCCGTAGGGGCAGTTCTACCCCATCGTGTTAGTCCGGGTAGACTAGAGAAACAAATTCATAGACACTCATACGTGTATGAGGAAGCGCTTCAAATACAAGAGCAGTTGAATATTGAGAAGACAGCCCAGCCCAGTCCAGATCAAGCCCATAAGTCCCACATTAGCCCATATGTCTGATCCCAATCTATAAATTCCTCTTCAGACTCACGAAGCACATGCAATGACGCCGAATGCAGGAAGATCACAGGCCAGTGGGTGGGACGTCTTGTGGATCCAGTGGTGGTGTAAGTATCTTAGCACTGGCAGGGGTCTCCACGTGGGTCCTGTGGCTCAGGGCACTGGTGTACTTTCATGCATCTTGTCAGCTGCTATGTCTCCCAGGGTGTGAGCAGAGAGAGAGTGTGTCTCCCACCTCCAAGGAAGAAATACAGGAAGTCCCAGACTCCTCAGGAGAAGGCCATGCCCACACAGAGGCCTCATTGCCTATATCTTGATGGAGAGGCCAGACTCCACCCCTACACTCTGAATCTTCTCAAACTGACACCAGATGATGTAGCTACCACACCCATCCTGGAGGTGTGTGGCCGAGTGGCCATGGGTTTGCTTTGGTTTGGTTATTAGATGCCAAGCGAGACATCCTCCAAAATGGAGGTGGGAAAGGTAGAAAGGGGCTACCCAGTGATTGCGCAGATGGGCAGAAGCATGTCTGAAGACACTGCCAAGCCCAGAGGTGTAACCTCTACCCTCTCACGAGGCAGCGAGGCCGGGTCTCTCCCTTCCGTTTCGGCACAGGCTCTGTGGGAAAAGGTGTCCTTGACACAGAGACCCGGCGGAGAGAGCAGGGGGAGGGGTAGCCATGGCTCAGGGGGCACTGGGGATGGGAGGGCTCAGCGAGGGTAGCAGTGACGGTTGCCAGACATGGAGCACACAGTCAAGGGCACTGAAGTGCCCATCTCAACACTGCCGGACTGGCGCATGGCTCTGTTGTATGAGCCCATAGTTTGACCACCAAGTTTTAACAGTTTAAGTTAGAAGAAGAAACCAGGGTGTCTGTCTAGATTATGGACAGACCCGGGCTGGTCCTGCCCCTGAGCATGAGAGGAGACACAGGTAACCTCTTCCTTCCCCTCCGTCTCCACAGGCTCCCTCAGACGCCACCTGCCTGGTGGGGGACAAGACCATGACACCTGCCGGTGGGACCGAGAGCCCATTCAGGCCGAGGGCCAAGGGCGTTTCTGGAATGAGTGGCCCTGAAAGGCATCGGCATCTAATGCTGCATGGACTCTCTGGGAGTTTCCTCGAACCCCAGTTCCTCTCGGTGTGGGAGAAGAGCCAGGGCCACAAAGTGGAAGGTTGGGCCCCACGCTAGCTTGAAATACACAGACCCCAGGGTTCGGGATGAACGGGGTCCCTTTGAAATTGGTGTTGGGAGCCCTGATCCTGACACCCAGGATGTAGACCCACGTGAAAACAGGGCTTCTTTGCTTTGTTGTCGTGAGGTGCCATCAAGTGGGTCCTGACCCATAGCGACCCCCGTGCACAACAGAAGGAAACACTGCCCGGTCCCAGGCCAGCCTCACAGTGGTTCCTGGGCCTGAGCCATGGTCGCAGCCACTGTGTCCGTCCATCCGTCCGTCTCCTCGAGGGCTTCCTCTCTTTCAGTGGCCCTGCACTTAACCAAAGTGACGTCCTTTCTCCGGGCACTGGTACGGAAGTCGACACCCTGTCATCCGTGCCTCTAAGGAGCACCCTGGCCTTACTTCTCCCAACACAGGTGGGTCTGTCCCTTCTGCAGTCCGTGGCACGTGCCGCGTTCTTCTCCGGCACCACGATTCCAATGCATGGACTTGTCTTCCCTTCCTTATTTGTCATGCATGCTAACGAGGCCATGATCGGAGTTAGCTGGGTCCTAACCCTAATCCCAGGCCCCGGCAGTGTGATGGATTACGAGTTGGGCTGTTAGCCGCTAGGGTCAGCAGCTAGAAAACCCCCAGCTGTGACTCCTTGGGAGAAAGACGAGCCTTTCTCTTCCTGCAAAATCCGACAGTCTCAGACGTCCAGGAGCAGTTCTAGCCGAGGAATGGGCTTGGGTTTGCTTTCATTTCAAACCTAATCCCTTCGGAGCTGAGCGATGTACAGAGCAAACAGGGACACAGGCAAGCACACGGCTGGTGGGGGATGGCCCAGGGAGGCCACCGAGGAAGGGTGGGGGGGATGCCGGCAGAGTCGAGGGACAGCACCTTTCACCTAGAGCAGGCTCCTTGGGCCCAGGTTTCTGGCCACCCGAACTTTGAGGGCACAGCAACTGTTCTTCAAAGCCACCCCCTGGTGGTATCTGCTGCTCAGATCAACCGGTCAGAACATGAGACGAATTACCAATGGCACCAAAGTCCCGAGAGAGGGCGATTCCCCTCGTACCCTACCTGGGAAGGGGGTTTCTGTCACCCACCTCTGGGACTGCGGGAGGAGAGCTAGAATACGGGACTGGCGGGCCTGTCCCCCCCGCCCCTCCCCTCCCCCTCCACACAAGCAGACAGCCCTCTTACCCAGAAGGGCGGTGTTGTCCATGAGCACGCGGCCCTTGTCGGCCGACTCCTCGCTGCAGACATCCCCCACCAGCAGAAGCTTGACAGCCTCCTGCTTCACCCCCTCCAAGAAGTTGGACTGGATCGTGCGCGACATGGACCGGGCGCCGTCTTTCAGCTTCCCCACCTGCCGTGGGCCGGGTCGGGTTGGTGAGTGGGTCCGGCTGAGGGGGCCCCGGGGCCGCCCCTCCTGAGGGCTCCCTACCTTCGCCTTTCCTTCCAGGGCCCGGCTGCCCGTGAACACTCTGCTCAGCCCGTGCCCGTTCAGGGACCACATGGCTTTGAAGGCCTCCACAAAGCGGTCGACGATGGGCTTCGAATGCAGCCCCAGGCTCTCGAGCTGCAGGTGGAGGACCTGGGGGAGCCCAGGACGTCACCGGGACAGAGGGGCCCTGCCTGCCCCTGGCACCACCAGGGCCATCCTAGTAGCCCCTTATCTGGGCCCTGGAAGAATGTTAACCCCGAGCAGGGGAGGGAGGGAGGGGGTGGCTTCTGGCTACAGAGGCATTTCCCCCCACTACACACCACCCTCGCTGACGAGCGTTATCTCTGAACCACGACCTCTGACCCCATCCTCGCCACCACAGCAGGCCCAGACAGCAGCAGAGCTAGCCTGCCTTCCTCCTCCAGTGTGAGCCAGGTGAGGTCCATCCAGGTCTGCACACTCCCTCTTGGGTCTGACTCAGTGCCCCCCCACCCAACTCCCCCACTCCCCCACCAGGAAACCTGGCCTGTCTCCACCCGCCCAGCAGCATGGTCCCAACAGCCATGGCGGAATGCCTGTCTCTCAGGGTGCACGGTCCAAAGAACGAGCATGTGGGGTGAGTGTCCCTTCCTCTGGACGGGGCAGCCAGCGAGGCCTCCGCTCAGTCCTGGCTCTGAGGGAGGGGAGAGGGCGGCCAGGGGCAGGCACTGACCTCGAGGGCGATGAAGCACTGCACGGTGTTGGTCCGGTCCAGGCAGTCCAGACAGTTGGTTCTCAGGGTGCCCTTCTGGAAGCTAGGATAATGGACAGAGGTCACGGGCACACATCTGGTCTCGATGAAGGGCCCTTAGCGACAGACCCCCGGCGGGGCAGGGAGCAGGAGCGAGCCTGTGCCTGGGCCCAGTTAGCCATCAGACCACCCTGGCCATGTGCCCGGTGGATCCAAGGCTGCTGGGAAAAGGCAGACCGGGCCCACACTCGGCAGCCCGCACCCCTGTCCTGACAGGGCCACTTGCTCAGTTCTGGTTTCCTGGGGCCACTGCGTTCCCACCTGCTGCTGATGCCCTCGAGGGCGACTCAGGATGGACGCTAAGCGGGGGAGGAGTGTGAGCGGTGAGAGACCACTGATTCCCACCCACCCCAAGCACCTCTAGAGGAAGGCTGGGCTGCTGACTTGCGGAAGTCCAGGGAAAACCGGAGGGGCCCAGTTCAAGCCTGATGGGGGGTGGGGGGGACACCCTGAGTCAGAATCCACCGTGGGTGGGGGGCACTGACTCAACAGTTACTGCGGGGTCCCCTTTATGACTCCCATTTCTTTGGCCAAGCAACCCGACTGCACCGCTGGCTTGGAAAGTCCCCAGAGCACGCATCGGGTTGTAGGAAGGGAACAGAGGCAGCTGAACCCCCACCCAAATCCACATTGTGGAGCCCAGGAGACCACAGTCGGGGAGGAAAGACCATCTTTGATGAGGGCTGGCCGGCAGCAACTCACTCACCAGGGACTCACATTCTCGCCCCTGGCGAACACTTCAAACTCCTCCCAGTGCAGCTTCAACTGGGGCCTCAGCAGGTGCTCCAGCCTGCCCAGCTTCCCCCCTTTGGCAAACTGGCGGAGGTCGAAATTGATCATAGGGGTGTCGGCGCCGTGGCAGGACGCCCATAGCAACTTCTACAAAGGTGGGGAGGAATAGAGAGGGATGTGACGGCCTGCTTCACCTCGCAGCCCTGCGCTTCCGTCCCTTGTCCTGACCCAGACGGACTCACCCCAGGGGGGACAGACACACGGAGGGGCCCTTGCCTGCAGACTGGCAGAAGCTCCACCCCAGGCCAGAACCAGCTGAGGCAGACATGACACCCTCAGGCCTGGGGAGGCCTGCTTAGTTCTCCCAGGGCCCCGGGCCTCGGGCCCCAAGCCCAGCAGCATGCAGCTGGGCTGTGGGTCATAATCCAGCCCCCACTGCCATGGCAACCAGCCACAGCCTGAGGGAGGACTAGTGCCTGGCACATGAGGGTGGGCTGTCAGCTGGGGGCCAGTGTTGGCTGGGCCCAACACGATGCACGGCCACTCTGCTGCTCCCCGACCTTCCTCATTCCGGAGGCCTGCAGCACCCAGCTTTCTCCATGGACAGCCACCTGGCCAGGCCCACTGGCCACTTACACCCCACTCCGCACCCCATGCTGATTAGCCTCGTGCCCCACCATCTGCCCATCTTGGAGGTGCTCACAGCCACCAAGGACTGAGAGCCTCTGGGTCATCCAGGCTGGCCTGCTGGAGGACGCACCAGGACGCACATCACCCCTGGCTTCCTTCATGGAGAAAGTCTTGCAGTGGACGAATCAGAGCAAAGTCAGGGTGCCTGGCAGCACCGTAGGACGTGGACTGAGAACGCTGGGCCACAGACTGGCTGCCAGCAGTGCAGACCTCCCTGGGCACAGCCCCACCCCCCAGGCCATCAAGAAGCTTAGGTGGTCTGTCAGGGTCAGTGGGGGAGGAGATGTGACAGCAAGGCAGGCATATCCCAGTCTCCTGAGTTCTGAGGCAATGTCCGTGAGTCAGTCTGAGCCGGGACCTGCACTTACCCACTGGGAGTAAGTCTACCTGTGCCAGCAAGTGGGGGTGAGGGTGCTCCCTTCCCATAGCTCCAGGGGCAGGGAAGATGGCACCTTCCTTTGCGGTCTTATATATGTTTTTTTTTATTGTGATACTTTATTTCTTGGCTGCTTACTGCTTTGGGATTCTCCTATCCTTTCCTTTTTCATTGTTTGCTGTATTTTCCCTTCCTCCATTAAAATATGGAGCCCAGATGGGAAAAAGGAAAATACGCCTTGTGCTTGTTGCTAATAGCAACAACCCAGACAGGAAACTCGGGTCTGGCCAGGAGACCCAGCAGCCCAAAAGTCCAAATTCCAAGGCGGGGCTTTCTCAGGGGGTGAGATAAGAGCGCAGCTGCCCTGGGCTCCAGCCAGAGGCCTGGCAGCCGCCTGCCTTCCCTGGAGACGGGCACTGTGCTCAGGAAAGGAGCCCACTGCGGTCCCCTCTATCCCGACTCCTAGCGACCCCGGAGGACAGAGGGGCTGCTCCACAGGGTTCTGGAGACTGGAAGTCATCCCAGACAGCCTCAGCTTCCTCCCGCAGAGTGGCGGGTGGGTTCAAACTGCTGGCAGCACCTCCTATTCGACAGTCACTCGGAGGGTCGCCAGGGGACGGAAGCGCCATGACAGCTCCAGGGTGGCGGCACTTGCCCTGGAGAGGGGTGCGTGGGGCTCTTCCAGGAGGTGAGGTGCCCACACGTGCCCCCCCTTCCTGGGCTGAGAACAAACTCCCCAGAGAGCTCATGGCCCTGTGCAGCGGGACGCTGCTGGGAATCTCGCTTTGGCTTGGGGCAGGTCTTCCCCAACCCCAACCCCGACTCACTGCCATCGAGGCAGCTCCGTTTCCTGGAGGCCCTGCAGGACGGAGTGGAACTCCCCTGTGGGTTCCCAAGGCTGTAGCTCCTACGGGAGCAGAAAAGCCTCGTTGTTCTTGCTTGGAGCAGCTGGGGGTCTTGAACCCTTGGCGGTGAGGTTGTCAACACAACAGGGTCCCCGGGGCTCTTCCTCAATGGCTGCGGTGGAGGCTCAGGTACCAGTGTGGAGTGCATGAGCTGGACCACGGAACGAGGATGCTCTCTGTCGTCCCGTGTTCCGGATCTTTCCGTCTGCAGACCAACACGGACGCCAGCGAGCCACCAGGGCTACTCTCCTCCACAGCCAGCGAGTGGTAAAGGTGGGCTCGGCCACGGGGACCCCGGTTCTGATGCCATGGTGAGGATGCACAGTAATGCTTTTGCAGAACCCTCAGCGGGAGCCGGGCATGCTGGGAGCACCCTGCGTGTGGCACTCCTCCCCACTCACCCCTGCCTCAGAGCAGAGGCAGGCAGCCAGACAGACAGACGGACAGCTGGGTGCTGATGGGGCGGGTCTTACCTTGAAGGCTCTGTTGAGGACGTCCTCGCCACCGCGACTCCCCAGCAAGTTCACGACCACCTGCTTCCCGTACTGCTCTTTCAGAAGAACCATGTGCCTGTAACGGCAGGGGCCAGGCGGCCATGTCACCAGGGGTCCAGACGGACCGCCCACCTGGCCACCGTGTGCTGGGGGCACTGGAGACCCTGGACCCGGCATGTGGCAGTGAACCAGGGCAAGCCCAGTGGGCCAGGTGTCGGCGGTGTGGTGGAGTGAAATTTCTTAACGTGGCTCTTCCACCTTGGTGTCTGTAACTCCCACCAGATGGGTGGGCAGGACTGTTAAAATGACGGCTAAATGCAAGCAGTGTGCATTTGACAGAGGGGATGGGTCCATTTTCGCTACCGCCCTCCTGGCTGTCGGGATGAACCATCTTTGAAGCCGCAGCAGAAAGAGAAAGGCTGTCTGAAGTGGCAGAGGCCAACGAGATCAGATGCATCAGAGACTGCTCTGAGATACAGTGTGGAGACCTGAGATATGGTCTCCTCATGGGGCCAGAGACTAGGGACCTGTGGAACCGAGCCACAGGTGGGCTGCTTTTCTGGCCCACGGTGTGTGTGTGTGTGTGTGTGTGTGTGTGGTGTGTGTGGAGCCAAGGGGCCATGAGATGGAGGACTGGAGAGAGACTTGGCTGCTGGCAGAGGAGACCAGGGGCTGTATCCTTGGTGTCTGCTGATCTTGACTGGTTGGCAACCTATGGACTGCCCTAGTGAATACTGAATTACCTAATGAGCGTGGTCCGTGAGTTCTGGGTGGCCATGGCCACACGGGAATCGTGGAACCCAGCATAGATGCAGAGCGGTGTGGGAGGGGTGGTTGGTGTCCGAATAGGTAACAAAGGATGGCGCGTGGAGGCGTGTCGGACCCCTGCCTCGTGGCAGCAGGTCAGATCCGTCCCCCTCCATCCCGTTCATGCAGGGACAGCAGAACACCGTGCACGAAGCCAAAGGTCACCGAGAAGCCAAAGGAAAAGCCAACGTGGAGGTCAGAGACTCCGAATCTGCCTCCTGGGGCAGGTTAGCTAGAGCCCATGGAAGCAACGACGACGTCCAAGAGCCGAACGGAGCCTTTCAAAAGGCAGCTCCAGAGGACACAGCCAGCCAGCCAGCAGAAGAGAGACCGAGGTTAGAGGACCAAGAGGGAAGAACATGCCCAGCCCGGATGCGAAGCAGTCTGGGAGGGACGGTTGGCATGAGAATCGGTGACGAAGGATGGAGCGTGGAGGCATGTCGGACCCCTGCCTCGTGGAAGCAGGGAAGCCAGAGTGCAGCAGTTACACCATCTCCTGCCAACTTGAGCAAAGGGGTGGAGTCTGGCTTGTCAATCAGGTCAAAGCCAATGAGGCCTCTCTGTGTGGGCATGGCCTTCTCCAGAGGATTCTGGGAACTCCTGTCTTCCTCCCTGGAGGCGGGACACATTCTCTCTGCTTTGTCTTCCTGCCAACAAGACACATGGGGCTACACTGATGGCAGCCAGAGCCCTGGAGCTGGAGGAGCCACGTGGAGCCAGAGCTGTGATGCTTTCACTGCCACTGGGGCCACAAGACTTTCCACCCACTGGCCTGTGATCTTCCTGTACGCAGTGTCGTTGCATGTGCTGCGTGAGTCTGAAAAGGAATTTATAGACTGGTATGGGACAGATGGGCCAATTACAGACTTAGGGACTTGATCTGGACTGGGCTGTTTTCTCAATATACAATTGCGCTTTTATATAAAGCTCTTTCTCACACACATGATTGTCTATGAATTTGTTTCTCTGGTCCACCCGGACTAACACACAGAGGTCCGATATGTCTACTTACCTCCACGCTGTTTATTGCAAATGGAATGTTGGATTAAAGCCAGAGCCAAGAGAAACCTCAGCAGAACAGACTCCCAATCACTCTGACGCTGGATGAAGTGCCACCTTACACTGGGCCGAGCTAACTAGCCCTCTGATTGAGAAATGGAACAATAAGCTGCCGTCTAATGGAGTCCAACTCATAGTGACTGTGGTGGTTAGATCTCAGGCCAACTTGATGGTGCCTGGGGGGAGGTAGGAGGGGAGTTCAACCCATCAATCCAGTGGGAGCCTGGTCCTGGCCCCTTGGGGGTGTGGCCTTCTTTATGAGAGAGACCACGAGAAAGTCTCTCTCCTGCCTTTCACCCACCCTGCTGGCTGGGACTCACTCTGTATATGCCTCCAGGGGCAGCCCCATGTGGGCCGCTGACCTTGGGAGCTAACCTAGGAACTGTCGGTGCCCTGTCATGTCCCTGCAGACCTTGGGCCCATGGGACTCTGCACCCACAGGCCTGTGATCTCCCTGCATCCTGATTCCCTGCAGAGGTGCATCTGAAGAGGGCTCCGGCTAGCATCAGACCCGGGGACTTGAGTTGGACCGGGCCGGGATGCCCTCTTGATGCACAATTACTTTTTGCTATCCAGTTCTTTCTTATCTCTATATTAACTATCACAGGGTTTGTTTCTCTAGATAAGCCAGCCTAACACAGAGAACCTACAGGACCCAAGGCTGTAATCTTTAGGGAAAAGGGTTCCGGAGATGCAGTGGGCTAAAATGTTGGGCGTCCAGCTTGCAAGGCCTGTGGGTTGAACCCACCAGCCACACCACAGAAGGAAGAAGTAGTAGTCTGCTTCTGTAAAACCTTACAGTCCCGGCAGACCCGGGAGCAGTTCCATGGACTCCGTTCTATCCGGTCAGAATGAGTAAGAATCGATTCATCCGGCAGCAGTGTGTGGGTCGGCCTTCAGGGAGCAGGCAGCCAAGACTTTCTCCACCAGCCTCTCCATGAGCAGCCGAGTGCTTTACTCACTGGGCCACCACCTCTAAACTCAAAACTCACTGCCGTCGAGTCAACGCTGACTCACATGTGGGTTTCTGAGACTGTCACTTCATGGGAGTAGAAAGCCCAGGGTTTCTCCTGAGGAGCTGCTGGTGGATTCGAACCGCTGACCATGAGGATCGCAGCCCTGCGCATCACCACTGCACCACCAGGGCTCCTCAATAGCTTCTGAAAACCCGCAATCTGCATACTCCAGCTGAGGGGCTCTTACTGGAAAGTAGTATACTGTTTTAATGAAAATACCTCTGCCTTTCCCAGGATCACATGAATAATATCAGGGGAAAGATAGACATCTTTATTAATATATTATAACGCTTTCCAATAAAAGCAGTTTGCCCTAATGTGGTAATTAGGGTCTCCCAGCTGGACTCTGATACTAATGTGCTTGTTGATAAACAAAGAGCAGACAATGCAAATCTGAGTACAAATTATGCTTCCAGTAGAAGGTCTGAAAGACCTACAAGTTACTTTTAAGCATTTTCATGACACTCACGGGGATACTGTTCAACAATGAGAATTGACATTAAGAGAACTATTTTAAGGTACTGCCAGCTGTTTTAAAGGTGCTCTGGGGGCGCTGTGGCACGGACAATGGGTGCTAACCACAAAGCCGGCAGTTCAAGCCCACTAGCTGCTCTGAGGGAGACGGGGCCACCGACTCCTATAAAGGTTTACAAGTCTTAGAAACCCTCTCTGCAGCCTCTCTGGGTCAGGACTGTCTGCATGGCAGTGAGCTGGTTTTTTGTTTTAGCGATTTCAAGGAGCTCTGGGTATGCAGTGGATTAAGAATCGGGAATAATCACCGAAAGGTCAGTTGTTCGAACCTACCAGTCGCTTGCAGGGAGGAAGAGGAGGCTATCATCTCCCATGAAGATGGACAGCCTTAGAAATCCGACAGGGCACTTCTATTCTGTCCTGTAGTTGGAATTAACTCAATGGTGTGGGTTTCGGTTTTTGATTTTTAATACTCTGAACAACTACAAACATCCTATATATCTTATAATTTAGATAGGAGACCTGTGGGTGTCATGGTTAAATATTGGGCTGCTAACTGCAAGGTCAGCAGTTCGAAACCACCAACTGGTCTGTGAGAGAGAGAAGAGGCTTTCTACTCTCATACAGATGTACAGCCTCGGATATCCACAGGGACCGCTCTACCCTGGCCCACAGGACTACTGAGTTGGAATCAGCTCAGTGGCAGTGAGGTAACTTGGACGTTGCTTATTAGCTGGGACAAACAGATGAAGCCTTATTGTAAGAAAGACCTGGTAAGATATAATAATTGTTAAGTATAATCTAACCATTTATTAATTAATCTTGTGTACAGAGGTGTATGTAGAGCTCCAAACCCCAGGTGCTGGGCATGAACTAAAAATATAAAAGAAAAAAATAGCTCGCTCAGTTCTACATGAAACTCCATGGTTTAAAAAGCACGCTGTAGCTAGGCCTGGACCTTCATTGCCACTCTGAAGAGGCGGTTAGGCTTCTTATCAACGTTTTAGTGCTCACAACACCAGGGGAGTAAGATTGAAAGTTCTTGTTAGCTTGTGCTAGGAACTGCTTGTTAAAACCTATCTGGCAAGGATGCCCACAATGCTTGTCCCAGGGAAACAGTCTGGTCAACAGGAAGCCAGACAGTAGACCTGATAATGCTATTAAATAAAGACGAAGCTCTACCGGTATCTTGTACCTCTGTTACCAAGACAAAGTAAAAGCCAGTGACCTGAGTGTTAATATAATGGACCCACTCTCCCCAATCAGACTCTGTTCACCCACTGTGACTGTCAACCCAGTGCTGCTAGTCCTTAGGAATCTATACATAACTTGCTACCTGAAGTTAGGAGGAGGCAAAGGTACAGAAAACAGACTCAGCTGTTCCCCAGAATGCTGACAGACAGACAAGCTGATGCTATAAAGAATGACCCGTCCGTCAGACTTGTTCCAGAAGGTCACAGTTTAATGTTGGGAGATAAGTGTTATCCCTAACCTCCGTGCCTGGAACCTTATATAAAGCCTCTCTGTTCTCCCTGCGTGTTGGAACTCTGTGGCATCATATTACGATGTTCAAGTTCTTGAAGCTCTTCTCACAATAGAGCCCTTGGTTTTAATTTCTCACAGTGCGTTATGGTTTGAATTGTCCCCTCCGCTAAAATAGGTGTCAGCTTGACTAGGTCATTGTGGGGGCTGGCCAGCCCCCCACAACTAATTGCGGGTTCAGTAGGCGCAACTGTACGGTTAAGACATATAAAAATTAGAGTAAAGTCATAGATAACAAGGAGAAATAGGAGAGAGATTGAGACAATGGAGTCAGACGCATTTCATAGTAGCATGCTCACCTCCTGGATGGCCATGATCTCAGCAGCCAGGTGTGCACAGCCCAGGGCTGAGAGGTCAGAGGAGAGGAGGGTGAGGAGGGGAAGGGCAGGGGAGAGAGCTCTTTATTACTAACCAAAGCTTATATATCTTTGGGGGGCGTGCAAGCTCCCTAATTACAGGTAAAGACACATGTCACAGGAAGGGGTTGTGCTATAGGTAATACAGCAATGAAAGGGGGACGATCTAGGGGTTTCCACGCAATAGGAAGGGAAGGGATTGGGGGTACACATGTGACAAGATGGGGAGATCCTGAATTCAGGATGGCAGCCTAACTTCGGATGTCACTGAGCAGGTTTTACCTGTTGTCTGGCTCTCCATGGAAACAATCACTATCCTTATCAGTAGGTGTGAGCCCCACCTACAGTGGACCAGGTGCCTCCAGGGAGAATATTTCTAAGCATCTGACCTCCCACCACTGTGCTGGCAAACAGCCTCTAATGTTTGGCATCTCTTTGGGGGAGACAAAGTGGGGGAAAGTCTTCTGTATCCCAGGGCCAAACGGAGGCAATCAGGAAGTTCATGAGACAGGATTAGTGGCAGTTATGTTAATGAGCCAAGAAGTAATTTCCAGGATTAGATTGTTATCTCCTTTGAGATATAAAAGAGATTAAACAAGCGGGTTAAGATCAGAGGGTCCCATGGGGGGCGCCGGACAGTGTAATATAAGATACAATAATAATTTATAAATTATTAAGGGTGCATGGGGGAAAGGGAAGGGGGGGGGGGGGGGGAATTAAAAAAGAGCCGATACCAAGGGCTCAATAGAAAGTAAACGTCTAGAAGAGAATGAGAGCAACATATGTACAAACACACCTGATTCAGTAGATGTATGGATTGTGATAAGAGTTGTATGATCCTCCCAACGCCCCCCCTCCAAAAAAAAGATCAGAGGGACCCTAAAGCAAATGTTTTGAGAATGATGAGGGCAATAAGTGTACAAATGTGCTTGACACAATGGATGGATGTCTGGATTGTGATAAGAGTTGTATGAGCCCCCAAGAAAAGGATCTTCAAAAAACAAAGAAGATCAGAGGGACCCAACTACCGCCAAGAAAGAAAGCAAACCAAGAGGAGAGCACTCCCCTTAGACCTGGGGCTCCTGCACTGCGAGCGGTCGGACCCCGAGGGAGGCTGATGCCAAGGAGAGGGAGCCCTTCGAGGACTGCCAGGCCCATCAAAGGTTGAGAGGGGACAGGGCATTCTGCCAGAGCCAACAGAGAGAGAGAGAGCCTTCCCTGAGGGTCACCTCGGGATTCAGACCTCTACCCCCATCAGAGAAGTCCTTTCTGTTCGCTAAAGCCACCGAGGGTGGCATTTCCGTTACAGCAGCACTAGATAACCAAGACAGGCAGGGAGAGCGTCAGACTGGTGTTTTTGCTGTGACAGCCTTTAGAGAAGGGGGTGGGGTCTAAAGTAGAAACCTCATTTTATAAAGGCCCTTCTTGGATCAAGGACCAAGGTGAAAGGCAGATTTTGCATGGGTGGTGCCTTCCTATAATGGAAGGCAAGTTGAGATTGCGGGCTGGGTCTCCCACTTCCTGTCCATTGTGTGACTGACTGACTGTGTTATGGAAGGGAGACCCTGGAGAGCCCAGGGCTCTGTTATCAAACAAGCCCTACCGGTCAAATGCGGGGGCGTTGGCTTCCAGGCCTCTGTTGAGTCTCAGATGGTGGGAGCCAACCTAGAGGAAAGAGAAATAACAATTGTGAGTCTGCCAGGAAGCAACGGTCTCCGCATTCACTGTCGGCCGCTCTCGAGTGGTGGCCGCCCACGTGCATGGCTAGAGCCCAGTGCAGGGGGACCAGGCACCTGCTCCCTGGACTCTGCCAAGAGTGTGCTCACCTCCAGCCCTGGCTGAGAGGCTGGCTGGGTTGCTGGCCAGTCCTGCCTGCAAACTGACACATGTAGGAGAGAAACATCCGGATAATTCCATACTGTATCCCCAGGTCATTCAATAGCACAGAGGTGTAGAGAGACCACTTCCCAGCTTCCTCTGCTTCAAGGAAGGACCTCCATTTCCTCATAAGATTTGAGTTTATCATAATTATCTGAAAACTGAGCTGCCTTCTATTTAGAGCCATCCATTGAACATTGAACTCCATTTGTAAAATGAACTTAAAATGACATCATCTTTTTTTTTATCAATAAAAAAAAACCCTGACATATTCTTACTGGAGTTAACTCGACCAGTCTCCTACTGGCTGTATCTGGGGCAATTTGAGAATCAAATTACATAAGGACAATAAATGGATTATAACCTGAGCAGCAGAATAGGAGCCCATGAATATATACTGATGAGAAGAGGTGGCTGGGTAGGTAGATAGGTTAAGTGTATGCATGTATGTATGTATGTATATATATATATGTATTATAACTGGAAGGATGAGTTGGTGGATGGAGGGATAAGCAGGTGAATGGGGGGGGTTGGTAGGTGAAGTACATGGAGAGAAGGATGGATGGATGGATGGATGGATGGGAAGGTGGATGGATGGATGGATGGATGGATGGATGGATGGG